TCAGTCACCCGGATTTTTTTTTTTTTTAGTGCTTACCATGTGCTAGGCATGGTGCTAAGCAACCAGGCATATAGGAATGAAGAAAACACTTTCTGACCTGTCGCTTACAATCTCAGTAGGCATGTTCCCTGTTCAGAACAGATGGGAAAGCATTAGATTTCCTCTAATCAAAATGATACAGGTCTGGAGGTGACATTTCAGAAGCGGTATGATAAGGGGGCCCTTTAAGGTGTATGTGAGTGAGGGATGTGTCTTTCTCTTGTGTGTCTTGTTTCCCCACGATGTACACAATGGGGACTTAAACTTTCATTGTTTGAACAATAATTTGTAAATGCATAACTAATCAGTATTTTAATTATTTTATATTATTAGCATTTATTTTTATAAAAATTAGTTTATTGAAAGTAATATGATTATTATTTATAATTTGCATAGATGATTAATATTTAGATATTTATAATTAATATGATTTATGATTAGCATAAATAATTTATTACTAATAAAGATTCCATAGTCCAAATGGGAATTTGGAATTATTGGTAATTTGCAAATTAGCTGTAACAATTAAATAACTTCTGGGAGGTACTTTCATTTATTCTTTCCACTCTCAGCCTCAGATTGCTGGCCGCCACTGGTGTTTCTCAAACTTTCTTGCTTTCTCAATTTCAGAAAGTACTGCCTGGTGAATTGAGCCTTCTCTGGGTTTGTGACATTCTGGAAGGTACTTTTTGGTCTTGCCATTAGCATGAAGGAAAGCCTAAGGAAGCTCTGTGAAAGCTGAGGATGCTTGGAAAATGGTCCTTCCTCTCAGGCTTCTGGGCAACAGTAATGATTACACATTGTCCAACAACCTGCCACCCTCAAGTTCAGACAACACAGGGGCCAATTCAGAGCACAGCAGAAGCTTATATCCTACACAAGGCAACTGAAAACTTAACCCAGTTCCAGATGAGTCTTGACGAAGAAAGGAATAGGTAAGCAGCAGGTTATTAAGGGAAATCAGGGAAGTTCCAGAGCCCATCTCTGGCCTTTCAGGATGGTGTGGTAGAATGCAAACAATGGACTCTCCCTTGCACTTTCCCTCAGAGCTGTGGTTAGAATTCTGGTCTAGTAGCCTTTGTTCTGATCTGTGATGATATTTCTGGTCTTCTTAAGAATATCATACCAGAAAAAAGTGATGCTAGAACAGCCAAGAGAGCAGGTGAACTATTTCAAGGGGCAGTTTGTAATGAACATAGCCTTGGACTTAGGGGTTCAAGCCCTTCAAGCGTACCATGCCAAGCGCACCACCACTGCTAAATACAAACTTTTGGTGTGGGTCACGCTAATGGCCATGATGTCCATGGTGGTGGTGTTGACCACACCTATCTCCTTTGTCTCACACAGATAAGGTGGGACACTTTCATCAAGGTGGTCCATTTCCAAATGGGCACTCCAGAAAAGTTCCCATGACTCCAAGCACACAGCAGTTTTCGGGCCTTGGTTGGCCACACCCTCAAACCTGAAATTATGCAGCATTACGGGAGTGTGGGGGAACTTCCCCCAGCACACCCTCTTGTGGATTCAGCAAAACCTCCCCAGGAGAAGGGATGAGTTAGATTCAGAGAACAATGATCCCCATTCCCTCCTTCCTTTTTCTATCCCTCTTTCTTTCCCTTCCTCCTCTGCATTCTTGCTTCTTTCTTTTTGCTCCCTGACTCTCTTCTACAAGCTTCCCTCATGCAGCACGGATGACCCTGCCAGGACTTCTTGGACCTCAAAGGAGGGAAGGTGTTTCACTGACAGCTGGGGCCTCCTTTTTTTTTTTTTTTTTTTTCTAGTTCTTGCTGGGGCAAAGCCCACAGCCCTGTGTCAGTAAATATCCCCCGGGTGGCGGAGACCCTAGCATTGGTGGGAAAGAAGAGAGGGGCTTTTGGGACTCTCGCTTTCCTGTCTGTTAGAGTCATCGTGCTTTACCAAGATCTGGGGTCAAAATTGGGTCCTGACTACTGAATGGAAACCCCAAGGTTCAAGGCTGGCTGGTGCAATATAGGGCGGGATTGCGGACAGGAAGTGGTGTGACTGTGTGGGTGTGAAGGAAGGACTTCCTCCCTCTCTGACACTTTCTATGTCGAAGGGGCCTTTCTCAGGCTGCCTTCCTTCCAAACCCAGCAGGCAGCCACTCTGAGACTTGAGATACAGATGCCCAGCACAAGGCCTGGTGCCCAGCAGCAGTACAAATAGAACCACGCAAATCCAGTCCTCAGCAGCTTGTCTACTCCCCTAGTCCCTCCTGGAAGAATACAGCACCTTCTCATGCTTATACTCTGCAGAAGTTTTACTTTTTCAGGTAGGAGTAGCCCAGGGGACATTTGTTTTTCAGGACTCTGGTCCCATCTCCAGTTATCTCGGAGGGGACGTGACCCTCAGCACCATGGGCTGCCTTAGTTTTGGTTCTCTTCCTCCAAATGTATTGCTTTCACATTGAAAGTAGAGGCAGTCTTGATCCTCCCAAAATTCAAGCTCAACCTCAAGCTCAACACAGCAGCTAGGGAGGAGGACACCTGATTCAGTGGCTAATTTGAATAAAGTTCTCGATCCAAGATAAAGCAATTAACATATTGCAGCAAAGCAGCTGGATCTGGGAGACATTCAGGAGACACAATGGACAGGACTTGGTAGATTAGCTTGGGAACACAGAGAAATCAATAGGTTTCTAGCCAGGTGGGTGATGGACCCTTGATTAAATAGGTAAAAACAGATTAAGAAGCATGTTTGAGGGGAAGACCATGAGATCATGAGTGTATCTTGGGCCACGTTGAGTCATTGAGTGGGATATGCCGTGAAACATCCTCTGAGAGACACCTAACAGGCAGCTGGATGGATCCACAGGGCTGCCCCCTAGAGAGATAACTGGGCTCTGGATACAAATGGGAAAGTTATCAGCGTAGAGATAGATGGTGGCTAAGAAGAAGCAGGTAGAACAAAGAACAAAGGTAAAAGCCATTGTCATAGGCTGTTGGGAAGTAAAGGAAAATAAGACGTGAGATGTGACCGTTAGATTTACTAACCAGAGCTTACTGGTAAATTCCAAGGAGGCAATTTCAGTGAGGTGGTGGGAGAAAAGGCTGGATCCTATGATAGAGCCTGACAGATATTCACCAAACCCAGTTCTTCCTCCTACTGAGCACTTTGCTAAATTTCATTTCCTGACCTCCCTTGTAGCTGGATGGGGCCAGGTGACCCAGTTCTGGCCATTGAACTGTGGGGAAGTGATGCACCGTCACCTCCAGGACATAGTCCTTTGCCTCATCCCGCATGGACCCTCTCCTCCCCAGCCTCCCAGCCAGAGTAGAGGGGCTGGGGGACGGCAAGGCCTTGAGGGTGCATAGCAAATGGAAGCTAGGGGACTAATGATTATGACGTGGAGCCAGGGGATTACCTGAGGTCAGGCTGGATAGGGCTTACGGATAAGCAGGCCAATGGGGCCAGCAGGCCTGGACACCCTGGAGTTAGCAGTGGAGTAGGAGAGCATACAGTAGAACAGCAATGACCACAAGGGTCAGAGCAGGTCAGTGGACAGTCAGGACAGCTGGATTTTGGAAGTCGGGTCAGTCAGAGGGGTCCACAAGCCTGGAGAACTTGGAAGTTCTGCAGGATCAGGCTGAGACTCCTGCAGGGCCACAAATTCCTGGAGGTGAAAGTCAGCAGCAGCAAAACTCCTGCATGTGCCAGGCACACACTTCGTATGTTCCTACTCACCACTGCAGAGACCCCTGGGGCCCCGGCTCTAAGTCCACCACCACAGACAGGGTGCTCATCTGAACCGTGCAGAAGGAAAAACAGGCCACATTTCGACACTAGCTGAGCCACACTCAGTTTACCTCCTTGTTGCATCAACCTGACTCAATTCACAGAGGATCAGGTGGGAGACCACCTGAGGTCTCAGCCTTGTTCTGCTGCTCACCCATGGGGAACCTTGAGCAATCTCTTCCCCTTGCTGCACCTGAGCCCCTTCTCTGCAAAGTGGAGGGGTCAGAATGAATTATTTTAATGTCTCTTGTTCTAAAATCTTGCATCATGCTTTCTGCCCCTGAACTCCCAGCAGGCATGAGTTCTGTTTGCTAATAGCAGCCTTCCAACACGCCTGACAAGGGCAAGTTTGCAGCCTTCGGCCTGTGAGTGTTAGAGACCAGGCAGGCCTCCAGTAGGAAGGGGAACTCTCCCTAGGAAAGGGGGCGTTGAGAGGAGTAGCCCAGAGTCAGCAAGTCCTTCACCCCTGGGAGGGGGCTGCCTTCTATTTCTTTCTTGTTTCTTTTCTTCTTTAACCATCTACATTTACAACCAAGCACTTTCCTTTCTGTTCCCATTTCTTGTTCCCTTTATGATGGAATGGCTCCACCCTCCAGAACCACCTCTCTTCCAGGGAAAAAGAGAATTGGAGGATGGGAAGTGTCTTCCCGGTTGGCTTTCCTTGCTGGGGCCAACTTCAACCTGGTTTGGTTCTGCTCTTCCCAAAAGACGAGTCGGGCAGACAGGGCTTTTTGAAAAGAAATTGCTCCTCTCATCTACCCAAATATTTGTTTAAATAAAGAGACAAATTTCTCCACTCAGTTGTGACTCAGACTAAGTTTCTCCCCTATCCTACACCTACTATAGAACAAGAAGGTGGCCTGGGAGTGGACGGTGCAGTTGAGAAAACCAACCTGGAATAGAAAATGTCCCACACAAGTCCAGCATGGGTGTGAGAGTTGGCCAAGGTGGAAGGCTGTGCAGAGCATGACAAAGGCACGGGTCACACTCAGCATGCACCTTTGTGACCCAGCTGGGTCAAAGACTTCTGAAGGCCTAGAAGTGGCAAGGAAGTCCCATTGGTTTATGCTCCAACACAGCCCCCTAAAGCCACCTCCCCTGTCTGCCATGGAGGTGGCTGTGGGAGAGTAGCCAGGCAGGGAAGCAAGACCCATGAGCCACAGAACACCCGGAGAAGACAGAAGATGGTCATCCTGGAGATGGTCATCTCCAGGAAAAAGAAGTGTATTGTGCCTCTAAATTCCAAGAACTGGAGAAGGGAGAGACAATAAGCATCTTTATTATCCAAATTCTAGAGGAAATGGCTCTGCATAACAGCAGAACCTAATAGCTGCCAGGGTGGATGAGAAGTCATTCCTGAGGGTGGCCTTCATGCTGGATCTGCACAAGGGCTCTGTGAGTCTTGCGCCTGTTGAATGCCGTGCTGAGCCCAGTCTGCAGGGGACACAGCTGGCTGGTCCTGGAGCTCCCAGGAGGAGGCCTGGCCACAGGTGCCCCCTGTATACAATTGTGAAGGGAAACCCTTCCTCCCTGGTATGAAAATGACCAAGCCTCCTTGTTGGGCAGAGGAGTGTCCTCAGCTTCATCGGGGCAAGCAGCCGGCCACGGGGTCTGGCCGGGGAGGCACTGGCACAAAGTTCAGGGGGCAGAGCAGCAGCGGACACATCTTCTCGTGCTCCTTCAGTGCCTCTGTCAGGTGCTTCAGCTCCTCTGTCAGCTTTCCGATCTCTCTCCGCAGCATGGTGTTTTCTTGCTCCAGGCACTCATATTCCTGGAGGAGACAAAGAATGGGCAACATGATTTCTGATGCGGTGTTCCCTTCCTCCGTCCTCCTGTGCTGCGCTGCTTGCCTCTTGCCCATGAAAGCTGTCTCATTACGCATGTCCCCTCCACCACTCAGATATTCAGGTATTTGTCTATTTGATGAGTGTCTCTCCCCTCCCACTGGGAGAAACTATTTATTGAGGTATAACTTACATAAAATAAAATGTATCTATTTTAAGTATGATCCAGTGAGTTTTGACAAATGTATACACCTGTGTTGATCAATACACAGAACACTGCCATCACTCCAAAAAGCTCCCTCATGCCCCTGTGCAGTTAGTTCCCCCAAATGCTGATGTGCTTCCGAAGATCTCTGTTGGGTTCACAGCTATACTCCCAGCACCTAGAACAGTACCTGGAACACAACAAATGTTTGTTGATTGCACTAACAAACAAACGAAAACATCCCTTGCTTTGGCTTTGCTCCAGCACTCACCTGTTCAGTTTCCTCTCCATCAGAGTTTACAGAGGCGTAGAACTGCAGGGGATCAGAGAGAACCCTTAGCCCAATCCGCACAATGTAGAAACCATCCATATCCAACTTGTTCTGGGCACTCCTGCCCTCAATGGACAGACTGTCATTTCTGGGCTGCTCTACTAGAAAAATCCTCTTTAGGGGCTGAGCATGGTGGCTCAAGCCTGTAATCCCAGCACTTTGGGAGGCCGAGACGGGCAGATCACGAGGTCAGGAGATCGAGACCATCCTGGCTAACATGGTGAAACCCCATCTCTACTAAAAAATACAAAAAATTAGCCGGGCGAGGTGGCGGGCGCCTGTAGTCCCAGCTACTCGGGAGGCTGAGGCAGGAGAATGGCGTAAACCCGGGAGGCGGAGCTTGCAGTGAGCTGAGATCGCACCACTGCACTTTAGTCTGGGCGACAGAGCGAGACTCTGTCTCAAAAAAAAAAAAAAAGAAAAAAGAAAAATCCTCTTTGCTGGGCATGGTGACTCATGCTTGTAATCTCAGCACTTTAGGAGGTCAAGGTGGGAGGATCACTTAAGGCCAGGAGTTTGAGACCAGCCTGGACAACACAGTGGGACCCCATCTCTAAAAAAATTTTTTTTAAATTAGCCAGGCATGGTGATGCACACCTATAGTCCCAGGTACTTGAGAGGCTCCGCCAGGAGGATTGCTTGAACCTGGGATTTCGAGGCTGCAATAAGCCATGATTACAGCACTGCACTCCAGCCTGGGTAACAGAGAAAGATCCCAACAAAGAAAAGAAAAGAAAAGAAAGAAAGAGAGAGAGAGAGAGAGAGGGAGAGAGAGAGAGAGAGAAAGAAAGAAAGAAAGAAGGAAGGAAGGAGGGAGGGAGGGAGGGGGGAGGGAGGGAAGAAAGAAAGAAAGAAAGAAAGAAAGAAAGAAAGAAAGAAAGAAAGAAAGAAAGAAAGAAAGAAAGAAAGAAAGAAAGAAAGAAGAGAGAGGAAGGAAGGAAGGGAGGGAGGGAGGGAGGAAAAAGAAAAGAAAAAGCTCTTATTTGTACTGATCCAAACTCTCCCCCTTTCAAATGTACCTATTGGGCTTGGTTCTATTTAATAGAACCAAACCTAGTAGATCCAATGCTTTTTTCAACATCGCACTTCTTGAAATGTTAGGATACAGCCCTGTACCACTTCCCTTTAAGTATTCTCTGAGCTCAGTTGTCTCAGGTCCTCTGAGTTCCTTGCATCAGGCTTTTCTTTGCCCTTCTGGGGACCCTCACCAACACACACTCCAATTTGCCAGAATATCTCAGAAAATGTTGCTCCCAGGATGCAATGCATGGTTCTGGAGACTATGCCAAGGGTAAATGTGTGGCAGTGACCTCTCCTGTGCTGGGCCCAAGCTGCTGAGGATTCTCCCTGAGCCTGCAGAGAAATGCAAGATTTGTCTGCCTGTGCTGCTTCTTTGTCTGTCCTTGGATGATGATGGATGATACAGGGCTTAAGGGTAGGGTTTTACATCCATTTCCACTGAATTTCATTCCTTATTTGGACATCTTCCAGCCCAGCAAAATTGCAAAATCTTTTTGAATCTCAATTGCATTGTCTCATGAATGATGATAGCACACAGCTTGAAGCCATCCACTAACTTAACACGCAGGTCTTCCTTTTCTTCATCCAAGTCATTAATAAGTTCTACAATAAATAGCCAATAGCAGAGCTCTACGGCATGCCAATAGAGACCCTCTCTAGGCTGGCAATCTCATTTAAATCTTGCTGAAATGTTTTCATTCATTTCTAGTTTATAGTAAGGCTTTGTTGTATCATGCACACCATGCATTTCCCAAGCTCAGGGCCCAATTGTGTTACTCTTCACACTTTCTCTCTGAGTAGTAATTTTAAGGGAGTATCACTAAAGAAATCTGATCTTATAGCCCCCAAAGACACATGCAAATTATCAATCCTGCCCCTTTGCTCATGCAGTTATCCTTGACTGGACTGCCTTCCTCCTTTTCTGCGTGGGTTCAGCTCAAGCCCACCACCTCCAGGAAGGCTTCCCTGACCACAGTACCTACAGGAACCACATCTTTTATTATGTGTTCTATTCTATTTTGTATCATATTCAATCTCACTCATATTAAGTAACGTCTCTCCCCAAAGATCAGAAATGTAAAGGACCTAGGAACTTCTGCCACTCCTCTCCTCTACCCCCGCCTGATGCACCACACCACCAGCATCCACATGCTCAGTGATTCCTCAGCCCTCATCCTCTGCTTTTTCTTTAACTCCACCCTTTCCTTTCATAATGGACTCTCGGCATCTTCCTCCCTTTCAGAAGCAAGGGGTCTGGCGGGGCTGCCTGTAGAGTCTATCTGAGCCATTCCCCAGGCGGGCTCCCAGCGTGTTCTGGAGCACTCTCCAGGGCAGCAGGCTGTTCTGGGGCCATGTGGCTTCACCAGTATACCGGCCCCATTCTGCCTCCATCCTCCTCCCTGCCTCCCACTCCCAAGCCCTCATGCCCTCCTCTGGCCTCTGACAAGCTCTAGTTCTGGAGTCAGAATTCTGTCTACAAACCCAGCAACAAGCCCTCCATGAGCAAGGGGAGAATCTGGGTGGGAGGATGGGATGGAAGCCGAGGCACCAAGGAAATCCGGCAGGCAGCAGAGGGATGAGAAAAGCTGCAGCACACACACGTCTGCAAACACACACTCACACTCATACACACTCACACACATGCACAGAGTCACACACGTGTCCGCAAACACACACACTTTCATACACACTCACACTCTCGCGCACACACACTCATACACACTCACACACATGCACAGAGTCACACATGTGTCCGCAAACACACACACTTTCATACACACTCACACTCTCGCACACACACACTCA